CTGCTAAGGTGGCAGTTCTTGTTTCTTTAGGGTATATTCCCAGTAGTGGAATTGCTGGGCCAAATGAATGTTAATGAATGTTTACAGAGACTTTGGATTTCCATTCATTCATTGTTGCATTTTTTTCCCTGCCCAGCCTCCCCGCCAGTTTGCTCTTCTCTTTGAAAAGTAAAGAAAAATTCTTTCATTTTTATACAGTCCCTCCCAAGTCCACTTCACTATGCAGCCTTCGTTCTGGACTCCTCTCAATGACAATAATACCTAATCATATACCCCCTTTAAGCAGCTCTCTCCCCCATCTGTTTCAATGCAGTATACATAATTTATCCTATCTTTCTCAGTCTCCCTCCAACCCTGATGTCAGTCACATTTTACAACAGTGGCACTATGCAGTATTTATCCTTTTGTGACAGAGATACGTCACTCAGCGTAAAGTCCTCCAAGGTCATCCATTTTGAATAATATTTCATGAGTTCTTTGTTTTTCACTGTAGCATAGTCTTCCATTGTGTGAATATACCACAGCTTCTCTATCCATTCATTTGTTGTTGGGCACTTAGATTGTTTCCAACTCTTTGCTATTGTGAACAAAGCCGTGATAAACATGGGTGTGCATATATTTGCTTGGGTAGCAGTTATGGTTTCTTTGGGGTATATTCCCAGTAATAAAATTGCTGAATCAAATGGTATTTCTATTTCCAAGTTTTTGAGAAACTGCTATACGGCCTTCCATAGTGATTGTATCATTTAACACTCCCATCAATAGTGAATAAGGGCTCCAGTTTCTCCATAACCTCGCCAGTGTTTGTTGTTTGCTGTTCTGTTAAATTTTGCTATTCTTACTAGAGTGAGATGATATCTCATTGTTGTTTTGATTTGCATATCCCTTAGACCTACGGATTTTTAACAATTTTTTTATGTGTTTGTTTGCCATCTGAATGTCTTCTTTGATGAAGTGTCTGTTCATGTCCTGTGCCTATTTTTCAGTTGGGTTGTTGGTGGGGCTCAAGTATTTGTCAAGATACAAGTCCCTTATCTGACGTGTCATTACCAAATATTTTTTTCCCAGTCTGTGGCTTCCCTTGTTGGAGAAGTTTTTGGATGTGCACAGGGATTTGATTCTTAGGAGGTCCCATTCATCTATTTTATCCTCTCCTGGCTGTAGATTTTTCACAATGCATGGAAGACTGTTTATGTTGTGGATTAGGACTTCTAGAGTTCCACCAAGCTTTTCTTTAATGAAGTTTTTAGTCCTTGGTTTTAGTTGTAGGTTCATGATCCACTTTGAGTTGGTTTTTGTGTATGGAGTGAGATGTGGCTCTTGCTTGAGTTTTCTACAGAGAGTTTGGGAATTTTGCCAGCACCATTTGTTAAATAGGATGTCCTTTCCCCACTTGACTGATTTAATTTTCTTGTCAAAAATCAGTTGACCATAGGTAGATGGTCTGATTTCTGGATTCTCAATTTTATTCCATTGATCTAAGTATCTGTCATCGTAACAGTACCATACTGTCTTGACCACCATGGCAGTATAGTAGGATTTGAAATCAGGGAGTGAGATACTTCCTACCTTGTTTCTCTAAAAATATATTTATTATAAATTAATGTTTTTTCATTGCAAGAGAAAAGTTAGAAAAAGTTCTTTTGTTTTTAATTGTTGATAGTTCTACTATGTCCAAGCTGAAGCCAAGGAA